CCTCAGCTTGAACTGACCACCTTGCAAACCCATACAGGTCCCTGCTGAACAGCTGGGACTCACAGACACACCCACTATCTGACAATAGGAGCAACTGGGCTATGCTGGAGCCTAGCTCTGTATTCCCAATGCTACATAGTTCCAGGATTTTTTGCCACCCTAATACAAATTGCAAGCAACATGAAGGCATGAGAGCCAACATGCAGGCTGTTGATCGCTGAATAATGCGCATGAACTGGGCTGCTGAGGCCCCTTTAGTACTCATTACCATCTTTCTTCATCTTGCATATAACCTTCCCTGTGTCAAGTATTATATGCATCACCTGCCTTCCTGTTTTGGAAACGTTGCCTTAGAGAAATTACTTGTGGTACATTGATCATAGAAGTAAGGAAAAAAAATAAATCACAGCCTTGTGCATGTTGTAGATATTTTGCTTTAAGTCCACAGAAATCGGTGCTATGAAAGAAAGAAGGGAGGGGAGGGAGGGAGGAATAACTTCCATTTAAACATGGTCTAAAATATAACTTAGAAGAAGTGAAATTTCTAGATCATACAAAATAGTTGAGCACTAACCACCAAGAGACCTGTATCACTGCTCTAGATCCTAGGGTATTACGTTTCTCTGGTCTACCTTGCAATCACTCTGCTTCTCAAAATAAGGCATTTTTATTCATCAAGCAAGTACAAAATTCCTTGAGGAAATTTACACTATCATTGACATCCCTATATAACTCACACAAGCAGAATGAAAGTTATCAACAAAAATGGAGTGTGAATACATCCTAGACTTGTATTTTCAGAAGGTCTCAATTTTACTTGCAATCTTCTAGCTCTTTTTGTTGTTTTGTGGGAAATGGGAACTGTTTGACTTACTTCCTGGCAGTCACTTAATCAATCAGTGTTTTATCTTTTCACAGACATAAAGTACCGACAAAAACTATCAGTCAAGTTTTTTAATCCCTTATGTCTCCATCTAACATTAAATACTTCAGTGGGTAGGACTTAGGCTACTGCTGCTCTACATGCACTTAAAGATATTTTGCACAACTGAGTCAATTTTTCCAAATGCCCGCCTCCTACCCTCTAACACATAGCATATGGTGCTGTGCTTGTGGCAGCATAGAGCTCTAAAATTAGGATTTCAGGTCTGCATTAAAATGCTAAATTTTGCATCAGTATTTAAGCACAACTGAGGTTTTATAATATCTTTTATTTAGAAAACTGAATCTTAAAAGTTGATTCCTTTATATAGACATTGGCTAAGGTTGCTCTAAGACACGTTATCAGGTAAAATTTCAATCATAACCCAATGTTTATCAGTTTCATTATAAAAACAAAAGGAATACTCTTCATCTCTCATTATATATGATCTTCAAAAACGCTTTCTTTCACCAGCTGAATATCATCATAATCTGATACAGGTTAAATTCATTTGATGGCTACTACTTTTCAAATGTACAAAATACTCCAGATTATTATATAAAACCAAATCTTTTAGCTTTTATTCCTTCGGAACTATCCTTTGAATATAATGACACAAAGGTTTCTTTCTTATTTACTTTGGTGAACAACCACACTGTAAAACCAAGAGACACTAGAATGAACCACATCTAGGTTTATCTTTTAAGTTTACGCTTCTGAGAAGCAGGACTTGCTTTGTACCTCAGCAAAGTCTCTCCACACCTCAGATTTCACAGAATTTAGTAATCTACTGCCTGAAATTACTTACTGCACTGCTGGTCCTAGACTTCTCCCTCTTACCTCCAAATTCCTCCTCTGGTTGAATGACCAAAGACTGCTTGAAACAGTGCAGAGGTTTTTTAAAAAGATGCTATGAAATGCTCGTTGCAGAATTGACTTTATTCTTTCTTTCTTAATTCCAAATTGTGATACCACCTGACATGAAGTATCCAAAAATTAGGAAAAAAGAATAAGAGCAGTGTGAAGGAGGAAGGCAGATACCATGACGTTACAAAGACTTGATGACTGTCTATCAATAAAGGCTATCTGTCCACAGCTATGTATGCAGACAGATGAACTTGGGCGTATAACAGAAGTTATACTGAAAATACTTACTACCATGTGCTCTTTGGAACCACTACTGAAGTGAAAAAAAAACTCAAAGCATTTATTTTATTTTCCATGTTCTTAGGATGTCTTAGCCTTCCCTTGTAAATTACGTGGAATTCTTGCAAGTACAAAACAGGAGTTCTTCCCACAAACCAAACCCAACGTATGATAATTGTTTTACTTCCTCGGTGGCAAGCAGAGCTACTAAGAGATATAAAATGCAGAAAGAAACCAAATATAAAAGGGAAAAATAATCAGCAGGCAAAAATTTGTGGGACATATACACAAGTTATTACTAGGGTCTGCATTACAGCACTGCTTAACTTAGAATCTAGAATTGTTGAGGTTAAAAAAAGACCTCTACAATTGATGTGATTCAAAGTATGTTTCTCAAAATTAAGGTAGTACACATGTAACTTTAGAATATTTTTTTAAATTGAAGATGTCCTAAAATTAATAATCTCAGAAACATTAAAATCATGATCTTATTCACAGATAATATTAGATGGCAGTTTTAGTTAGGTCACTCCAGTTACTTTCTGTGATATTATATATAAAGCAATGTAACACCTGTGAGGTATTATACATATATACATATACACACATATATACATATGTATATATATATATCAGCATCTTTATCGCTTACCTTCCAAGCTTTCCTGTTCATCTGGAGTAAAAGTATCCATCTGACTCTGCTGTCTCAAGAAATGGATGACTGCATAAACCAAGCGCTTGACTGATGACATATTGAAATTGATTCAGTTTCTCCTATGTCTTAAAAACAACAGGATCTCTTATTTCCGAAAATTAATTCTTACAGTATTCCAGTCTCCTAGTGACCTCAGTAAGAAGTACATACAATACACAAAACCTTAAAAGCCCAATAACATAATGCCTTTAAACAAGCAGTGAAATTGTATGGATTAGGGAAAACTGCTATGATTATCTAGCCTAATTATCATCAAAAAATACATATTTCCTCTGATTCATTACTGCAGGAAAGTTGAATCAGAATCACAGAAGAGACACACAAAGATCATCAAGTCCAACTCTCAAGTGAATGGCCCATCACCAAGGTTAAATTAATTTAATGACTTATTTTTCATCTATAGGGAGTTCTTTTATTTCTAAGACATATGCACTTGCAAGAAGGAGCATGTGCTGAGGTCAAAACCAATTAAAAAGCCACAGTGATAAATATAATGATATAGAGAAATATACTTCAATAAAAGGTGTTTGTTCTTTGGTGTGACATGGGTGTTATACTTTAATCAAAGATGTTCTATGGTGTTACATGGTGTTATACTTGAATAAAAGGTGTTCGTTCTTTGGTGTGACACGGGTGTTATACTTTAATAAAAGATGTTCTATGGTGTTACATGGTGTTATACTTGAATAAAAGGTGTTCGTTCTTTGGTGTGACACGGGTGTTATACTTTAATAAAAGATGTTCTGTGGTGTGACATGGTGTTATACTTGAATAAAAGGTGTTCGTTCTTTGGTGCGACGTGGGTGTTATACTTTAATAAAAGATGTTCTGTGGTGTGACATGGTGCTACAGAACAGTTCATTATCACTTCGGACAAAGAAGTGGAACACTGTGACCTCAGTACACACTTGTGATTAGAGACACTACTGGCTCAGTCTGATTTCCATTTAGCATCAGTGAGGAGTTACATAACCTGGAGGACAATTTTAGTTAGAACTTTCCAAGTTATTTTTCCTTAAATCCTTTTGATTTTAGAGGGTACAACCCTGTCCAGCTATCGGGGCAAAGCAGGTTTAAAAGTGAGCATTAAATGAATGGCAAGACCAGGGTCAGCCCCTCGCTCCATTATTTTCTCCCCACAACGCGCGAGCGAATCGGTGTGCGGCCAAACCCACGCCACGCAAATCCCGCCGTGGGGACGGGGAGAGCCAGGAGGGCCGGGGGAGCACGGCCGGGGGCACCGGGGGACCCCGACCAGCTTCCCCCCGAAGGGGCAGCGCGGGTTCCAGCGCCCGGGCGCGCCCCCGCGGCCTCGGAGGGGGGCCGCGCTCCCGCCCCCCGCCCACCTCCGCGTTCTCCCCCGGCCCAGGGCCGCTCGCTCGGGCTCCAAGGACAGCCCTGCACCGCCCGGCACCGCGGGGACCGCGGCCGCACCGCCCGGGGTCCGATCTCCCCCCCGCCCCCGGGCTCTGCGCACCGGGGGTGCGGGGAGGCGGCGCGGAGTCCCCTCGCCCCCGCGGGGACGAGGCATCTCTCTTACCGTGCGAGAGCTGGCGAGTCCGCGCCGCCGGCGGCTGGCAGAGAGCAGGGACGCGGGGCCAAAGGAGGCGGTGGCGGAAGCGGATGCGCAGGGCGGCGGCGGAGCGGGGCTAAGGGCTGCGCTCGCCGGTGGACAGAGGGCGGGGTGGCGACGGGAGTGAAGCCGGTCCTTCCTATGTTTCTTCTTCCTCCTTCCTTCTCCTCTCCTCTTCCTTCTCTAGTCCTTCCTACTCCTAGTCCTTCCTACTCCTCTTCCTCTGCTTCTCCTCTCCTCCCCTCTTCCTCCTCCTCTTCCCCTCCTCCTCGATTCCGCCTTCCCCGTGTCCTCCTCCCCCGCCGCCCACCGCGCCGCCCTGCCCATGCTGTGTCTTTGCGCGGGCGCGGTTCGCAGGTAGGGGCGCAGGGAGGGTGGTGCCGCGGGACCCGGGACGGGGGCGGTCTCCGGAGTGGGTGGGGGTCGCCTGGCCGGACTGAAAACCGTGGGAGCATGGAGCTGCCTGCGGCTGACGGGACATCCCCATCCCTCGCCCGAGGAGCCGGGCCTGGGAACTGGGCCTGACCCCCGGGCCGGGAGGAGCCGCAGCGGAGCGGGCGGGGCGCTGAGGGGTGACGGGCACACAATGGGGCAGGAAACCTGTGGGGTTCATTGCCTCAGCTCCTGGCGCGTTTCCCGCAGTCCGCCCTCCCTGGCATGAGCTCCGTCCTGAAGGGCTTCCAGGTGGGCAGGGCGGGCGAGACGAGGTGTCCGCCTGGTAATCCTTGCACTGAGTGGCACACGTACTGCAGGAGAAATGGGCAAGAAGACAATGGAGTGAAGGAGAAGACTGTAGCAGCGGGACTGCAGCAAGGTGTGTGGGAAGAGAGACTGGCAGTGTGTTCATAGTAGCTCTATAAAAAGGTGTATCACTATTACACGTTGTATGAAAGGTGAGACGAGTACCAGTATACTATCGAAAGGCTTTAAAATAGGGCATTACTTATTTTTTCTGTAATGAACACGAGCACTAAATGGCTCGTAGTCCGTAAAAGGCTTGTAGTCAGTTCTAGATGCACCAGAGAAGTGAGCATCATTGCTTTTATGCTCACATCTCAATTTCTCCAAAAGACCAGATTTGAAAGGAAAAATGAAAGTAGTGTGAGAGTCACAGTGAGAATATGTTGTGGTAATGAGAATGAAGCTGAATTTGAGTGTAAAATGAAAAAGATAGTTACCTGGTGAGGACTTTTGAGAAATGATAGTTGTGTACTTACTGCATAAAGTGTAGTGGTTTTGTTCTATTTCACAGCCTTTGTTCACATTAAATGAGGATTGAGGGGTATTAGCAGATAGAAAGTAAGATCCAGAATATTTTCTTTTTATAAGGCTTCTGCTGTTGAAAATTGATTGACCTGTTTTCTGGTGCTGAATAAAGTGCACATCTATATTCTTCTCCTAATACAGGTTTACATTCCTTTTTTTGTATAGTCATTTTCACTGTTTTCCATATTTTGTGACTATCTTTGTTTACCCTACAGATTTTTCCATCAAAAGAAGGCAAGGAAAGGAAAAGGAGTATGGAAGTTTTTTTCTTTAGATAAAAATTAAAAGGTCTATCTCTGTTTGCGGTTTGCATTTGGACATGGAAGATACCTCCTTTTTAAGTAGAAATAAGTATAGTGGGGAGTGGTTGCTGCACTTTGTTAATTGTGATTTTTTTCTCCAAGTCATTATTTCAGTTTGCCCAAATAATTGTTTCACAGAAGAGAGTATTCTTGAATGAGTAATAGTGACTTGGAATTTGAAAAGTTAAGGAATTGGTCACAGAAATGTTGAATAGCAAAGGTTCTCAGCTTCTGTTTTTCCCAAGGGCACCTTAATGTGAGATAAACATGACGGTTCTTAGCAAGTTTGAAGTATCATGCCTTACATTAAATAAAATAACGTTAAGGTTTGATTCTTTTGTTTAAAATAGACAGATTTTGGGAAGGAGGCTTTTCCCAATTAAATATTTTTCCTATTGGAATCCAAAAGATTCAAAGATTCATATTCAGTTCAATAAAATACATGGGTAAAGCCAGTCTAAATTACTTAAGTAGGCCAATAGTCTGTTTACTTTATGAGGATCTTCCTAGAAATGGAAAAAAAATCTGAATAAAAATAGATACCCTGTTTTAAATAATTTCAGTGTCCTAAAATCATTGTCTAGGATTTGTGAATTCTGGAGCATTGCTTTGAAAATGTCAAAATCCGGTTTTGAATTGGAAAATACATGTACGTGGATTCTGGAAAAACTAGAATTTGTATTTAAGATTTAATTTTAGATTTCTATCACTGTAAAGAAACTCTGAACACTGGCATTTTTCTTGATGAGGAAGAAAACCAGCGAGAAACAGAGGCTGGGAAGAAGCAGAAAAAGAAGTGACATCAGAGGGCAAAGAAATAGAAGAACTTTTATAGTAATTTTCTTATTTCATACTTATCGTCATAGTGTGTCTCTATGCTTTCATTGAAGTATCAGGTCCAGCACCTCAGCAATGGCAAAGACCAGACAGGACACTTGGAGCATTTTTCCCTTTTCGTGTGATCCATGGACTGCACAACCTCTTCTGTGTATTGCAGCAGCAATTTTTCCTGTGGTCAAAAGCAACAGCTACCACTTTTCTAACCACAGCAAGCTACAAAAGAGCAATTTGTCTATTAGACAGAGTTGGCAGAAAGAAATTATTTCCTGGACTGGCTCAGACAAATGTGTTGAGCCCAGAAACATTTTGTGGACTGAATTTGATCCATAAGGAACCAGTTGGACCTCACTAAGCAATGTAGTTAATGTCTTTTGAGAACATATCTGTTCTATCATTCTCTCTATAAAGGAAGAAATGCCTGGCTTAGAAAGATTTCTTTTAAATAGTTTGGGTTAGTTCAAAAGTCCAAGCTTTCTTCTGTAGGAGTTGGGATCAGGTAACTCAGAAAGCATAGAAGATACGATGAACATTCAGTACAATCTTTTCAGAACAGTCTAGGAATTGTGGACTCTCTAACACAAAGCCAGTTCTCTTGTATGATCTCTTGTACAAAAATTTGTCTAGTAATACCTTTTTATATTGAAGCTACTTCCTAAAACTGTGTTTGATCTCTTACTCAGTTATGTTGAAAGTGACAGGAAAAAAATTTATTCCTGGCCATCCTCTCCATCCGTCTCTTCATTATCATATAAATCTCTGAAGTACTTCCTCTATTGCGTTTTTTTCTCTGCTTTTTTTATTTTTTTTTTGTCTGCTCTGAAGAATGCCAGTCTAGTTGTTCTTTGAATGGAATATATTGCTCACTGCAGGTAATTGTTTCTCAGTCATTATGACTTGGTAGAACAAATAAAGGTTTTGCCAGGTGGAACAGAAGACATGAGAGTTTATCTGTTGAGAGGATCAGAAACGCATGTGGTATAATGAATTTTTCCGTTTTGTTCTGTTCCACCTCTACTAAATCCTATCATTTTGTTCTTTGCGGATGCCTCCTCGTTAATGTTTTTGTTAAACTGTTATGTCTCCAGAGTGACTGGATCCAAAGTGTGCATTAATTCACATTTACTAATACTGAAATTCACTTTGTTAATGGTTTTAAACTTTTCTATATTGTGACATTGTTTTTCATCTTTTTGTGGCTGCCTTTAGTACACTACATTGTCCTAAGTAAATTATCATCAGTAAGTTTTGTCATGTCATTCATCCCAGCTTTTTGTAGATGAGGTATAAATATGTGAAAAAATACAAACCCCCCAACATGGAACCCTGCAAGGTTCCACTGTCACCTAAATCCATTCAGAGCAATGAGCAGCCATTTTTAACAGCCTAGCTTCTAGCCAGTTTTCTTTAACAGGATCTCCCTTCTCATCTCACAACAGCAGTTTCTGATCTCTGTCAATTGTGACTCCTTCAAAGAATTCCAATAGATTTGTGAGTCTAAATTTTCCTCTGTAGAGGAGGCTATTTTTCAGTACATGTTATTTGTGTTTTGATTAGGGAAGGCAAGGTGAGGACAGTGGTAATTTTACTTGTTTCTGAGCAAAATATGATACAGCATCTCTGTTATTCATACCATCTCTAAGAAAAGCTCCGTCTTTAACAGCAACCCTTTTTATTTCTACAGTAGAATGTTAAATGAACAAAGTTCTTGCCATACTTACCATGCTGGAACATGTAGCTTTTCACATAACCTGTAGCTATCCTGGGAAGCACTCAGTGTTATTAAACCACTGCTCACTCAAAAGCCAGAGAAGAAAGCAGGCTTCATTTGCGTTCCTAATTTGTGGTGTTGAACAGGCTGTTTGGGATTTTGCAAGCAATGAAATGGACATAAGGCACTGTCTCCCAAGAAGATCACTGGTTTAAAATGGTAAGTGAGTGAGATTAGGTCATCATCCGCTATGAAGACATAGAATTTTCCAACTAACTGGTGATGGCAGGAGAACATTTCTCATTCCTTTGACTGCGTGAGACTTAAGATCAATGGGAAATCGAAGTGTCTCTCCATGGTAGGCTGAACTGATTAACAGTAGATATAAATCAAAAACCTTCTGTGTTTACAAACCCTCAGTAGTTTTCTCTGTCCTGCAGCACCACTTCATTTTCCAGTGGAGTCAACAATGTGTTTTTCGTGCATTAGCTGATTGCATTCAAGTACTGAACTATCCTGGGAGTAAGTGTGCGGTGCTTGCACTAAACAGCATGCACTTTACCTGCTGTTTATTGCTGGCATCATGGAAATATATGTTTATGCAGCAGCACCTGAGGGAGCTGTACAGCCTTAAAAGCAATTTTTTTCCCGCTGTGTTTCCACGGTTTACCTGATAGTAGAACCAAATAATAAGACAACCCTAATGAATGCCTTCTGCCTCAGACTGACTGTAGTACAATTATTGTCTGCATGCAGGTGTTAAGTCAAATTCCTTCCTAAGATCCTTCAAGGAAGTTACTATGATTGAGGTTTTCTGTGACACAGAATGCATTCAGAGTACAGAATGAGTGTGAAGCCTAGTGTACTGGTAGTAGTAATTTTGGGTTTGGGTTTTTTTTCTTTTTTTTGGGTATGGTTGTTTGGTTTGGGCTTTTTTTGTGGATTTTTGTTGTTCAGTTTTGGTTGGTTGGTTGGTTTTTGGGTTTTGTTGGGGTTTTTTTTCCCTTAGAACCATGGATAACATAATTTTAGAGATCAGACACTCTGCTGAAACTGTATCCTGCCATTTCTATGTGTTCCACTACAGACTACCGTGTTGAAAGCACCTTCTCACATGAAAATCAATCAGACCAGTTTCCAAATTTCGTTGTATAAAGACTGTCAGAGGGAACAAGGGGAAAGGGAGAAAATATACCTAAGTTGTATTATGTTATGCACTTGGATGAGTTTCCACTTAAGGTCTGGATTGTTTATTAGCTGCTACAGAGCACCTTTTTCAGTTAGTTTTCCGTTTATGTTAATTCTGTTGGAGAAACCAGTAAGCATTTCTTGCTGGATAGTGAGGTCATGAGGGTAATGCACATATCAATAAAGGTTTGAAGATGTTTGCATAACTTGCAGATTTTTTAACTTGCTCATTTTTATCTGAAGAGGTTAAAAGTATAGTTAATGTAGAGTGTACAGTGAACAAAGTTGTAGATAATTCTTTTTTCTAAATGGTGTGACAAAATTAAGATTTAGTGTTAAAAGGTGCTAGATTTTCTTCTGTTTCTTTAACCACTGCTTAAAAAAAAAATCAGTTTCTGATGGCAGTTATAGACCTTTAAATTAGGAAGTACTAAACATGCTGTCCTTTTGCTGTGATATGTCTGTGCCAAACACACTCATGACACAGAGCCAAGTACTTTTCCAAGGAAA